GGGGGCCTCCCGCCCGGGGAGGGGGCCTCCGCCTCCCGCGGCCCCTGCTTGGCGCAGCTCTGCACATTCACGCACACGGAGGTCTGCTTCTTGGGGTCATCGATGACCACCGAGCTGCATAAGCGAATGGCCGTCACGTTGGACTTGGCCAGCTCTTCCAGAGGAGGGCTGGCGGGCTGGGAACGACTGGGTTTGGAAAAGTAAGTCCAGCCCTTCTTACTGTTGGTGCCTTCTTCTGTTAGGGTCTGTAGCCAGTTACCCTGAGCAGGTTGGTGGTTGTGTAAGTTCAACTCATTCTTCTCAGGGTCGTAGGGCTGCAAAAGCTCGGGATGCCTCTGAAAGTTCAGCACCTGCGATGGCTTCCTGGGCCCCTCTTTGCATTCTAGAGCTCCATGCTTGGCCTCAAAGAGAGGGGGTTGCTTTGGGGTTCTCTCTGAGCTGGGTGGGGCATACGGGTTTTCTGGAAAGGGCAGCTCGTCCGCACTGTCCTCCTCTAGCCCAGCCCCGTTGCTGGGATGCACAGGCAGGTCATTTATCACTGGCGGTGGAAACGATGGCCCGTTTTCAGAAAAAGGTGTGCCTGGCAGGCAGCGCTCCGTGTTGTTCAGGACTATGTAGGGGTGGCCATCGATCCCCTGTACCCGAATACTGACCCCGTAGGAGCCTGCCTTAGGGTGCTGGGAATTCCTCAACTTTTTGGTTTCATCACTGGCGAGCCTCAGGTGGACACCGTATTCCTGCTGCACGTGTTGATATTCACCAAAGTACAGCTCCATGGCTCACTGCTCCCGCTACCAGGGAAAGATGGGGTAAAAGAGGACAGCACGTTAGAATTCATGAAGATTATGTGGGGAAACTTCAAAGTTCAGAGAAAACAACACACTTTAAACAGCAAGGAAACTTCCAGAACCAAATGCTTGTCCAAGCAGGCCTTTCTGGATGCCCCGGGGCTCACGCGACCATGGTGTTTGTCAACAGAGGGCTTAAACCCTGGCCTCGGGGTGGATGACTTGGTGTAATGATCTGAAGCCTTTGGCATAACTTCATGATTCTCTTTCTAGATGACCGGCTGTTCTGGTTGCTTCATTTTTTTTTCCCTTAACTGGTTTCCTCACACTTCATGCCATTTATTTTTAACCAGTAGGGATATTCCAGTTACCGGCATGTGAAAACAAGGTATTTTTCCATGTAATAGTGTTCCGATGCTCACCACTTTTCTTTCTTCCTATACCGTTAATTTTTCTATCAAAACAACCCTCTCCACCTTTTCGATGCATAATCCTGCTTTGAAATCTTTACCACTATTTATTTGGATAGACTGTTTGAAACATTTGAAACCTTAAGGAATGTTTTGAAAACAATTTCAATGATTTTTTTTTCTTACTAAAAAAGATCGAGTAGCATATTGATCTGGAAAATGCTATAAAAAAACGGAAGACTCGGAGCTCTTTATTTTGGGATGGGCCCTAATGCCAAGAATCACTGCCTTCACCTATCTGGTGTGTGGCCACGCTTGCCAGAGGCTGCACCCCGATACCAGCGTGCCACACCGGAGGTTCTCACCAGAAATCCACTTCCCTCGCACTGAAAAATCCAACAGCAAAGGAGATGCCAGAAGAGCAGTAAGAACTGGGCTCAGGTCAAGGCTGTCTCATGTCTTTCAATGTTACTAGTCTCTTTGAGTCTCTTTATACACTGGAGTCAATCTCATAGCATGTTTACCAAGAAAATCACCTATTTGATCCACATTTTCAAAGTTATTTGCACAGTGTTGCAAAGTATAAATCATTTCATCTCTATATCTATTTTTCATGATCTAGTTTTGTTTACTTGTGCTTTCTTCACCTACTTCTTGATTATGCAGGTAAATATATATGTCTATATATCTTTTAAATTATTGTTTTCCCGAAAGAACTAGCTCTTAGATTTAGCCTTTTTTTTTTCATTTTTCTAATTTATCGAGTTCCACTTTGAGCCTCATTTCTTTCGGCTTTCCTTTATTTTGTTGTTTTTGTTTCCAATTTTTTGATTTGCATGCTTCATTTGTTTCTTTTCATTCTTTAATTACATTCCATAAATTGTGATATCTGAGTGTGTCAGGAATTTTGTTGGTTCCTACTAACAAAGAGACCCAAAATAGCAACTTAAGGGTTAGATTTTTTTCCCCTAAGAGGTAGGAAGTCCAGGCTGGAATGAATGGATCCCTGGATATTTTGGAGGAACCATTTCTTTCTGCTTTCCTTTATTTTGTTGTTTTTGTTTCCAATTTATTGATTTGCATGCTTCATTTCTTTTCATTCTTTAATTACATTCCATAAATTGTGATATCTGAGTGTGTCAGGAATTTTGTTGGTTCCTACTAACAAAGAGACCCAAAATAGCAACTTAAGGGTTAGATTTTTTTCCCCTAAGAGGTAGGAAGTCCAGGCTGGAATGAATGGATCCCTGTGAGTGTGTCAGGAATTTTATTGGTTCCTACTAACAAAGAGACCCAAAATAGCGACTTAAGGGTTAAGTTTTTTTTTTTTTTCCAAGAGGTAGGAAGTCCAGGCTGGAATGAATGGATCCCTGGATATTTTGGAGGAACACCTTTATCTTTGCACTCATCTACCTTTAGGTGTATTGACACCTTCTGATTATAAAATGACTCATCCAGTATCACATATGCCAAAGGCTTATTAGACAGCTCAGTCAACCTTCTTCTTAAGCTCTGCTGGATGCCCCGCCCGTCTATAATCCCTTGCATCTTATTGGTGAGAACTTACTCATATAGCCACCCCTCCTCCCAAGTTCCACTGACTAAAAGGAGGCCTGTGTATAGGGATTTCAGCTGGTCAGTGACTCTCAACAAAATCAATATTCTGTTAGTAAGAAGAGAGGAAAGAATGGACACTGGCAAAGCAGCTCTCCACCAGAGTAATGTTCCCATTATTATTTTCTAGGTGGTTTCAATTTGTGGTTTTGATTTCTTCTTTGACACAAGAATTATTTTTGAGAAAGTTTTTTCATATCCAGCATGTCTGTTGTTGTGCTGTTTTGGCTTGGAGGGTCTTTATTTCTATATGTTGTGCATTTCTACTTGCACTCTAGTCAGAAAATAAAGTCCATTATTTCTTTCTTTTAAAATGTATTAAACTGCACTGCCTGGCATGGCTCAGTGGTTAGAGTGTCGACCCTCCGGCCCTGGTTGGGGCGCATGTGGGAGGCAAGCAATGGATGTGTCTCTCACATCGATGTTTCTCTCTCTCTCTCTCTCTCTCTCTCCCTCTCCCCCTCTTCCCCCCCCCCCCCCCCCTTACTTCCACTCTCTTTAAAATCAATAGAAAAATAGAGGATACTCAGGTGAAGATTAACAACAACAAAAAATGAATTAAAGTTTCCTTTGTAGGCACATATATGGGTAATTTTTGTCAGTGTCAAATGGGTGCTGGGTGTAGTCTCTTTTTTAGGGCATGGCATTAAAAATATATCCATTAATACAACCTTACCAATTATTTCATTTAGCTATGGCTCATCCTTACTTATATTGTCTTTCTGATTTGTCTTGGGTCCTCCTGGCTACATGTGTCTCCTACTACTAGCATGATGCTGTCAGTTTTGCTTGGCGATTATCCTTTTAAATGTAAAACATGTTAGACATCATCACCTATTTTACAGATAGGAATGACTTCGAGAGGTACTTTCACCTGCAAAATTTATCATTATCTCACAGATTCCAATTATTTCATTATGTCTACTTTCATTGTCATCAGTTATCAGTTACATTTTAAAATAATTTTATTTTGTAATCACAGCAAAATGAAATATAATGAAAACCTTGACTCTCCTCTTCCCCCCATCCCAATCACATTCTCCAGAGGAAACCAATTGCACATTATCGCTGTTTCTTCTAGTACTTACGTCCATGTTGCTCGGTACTGTGCCTCTTTCTTAATTTACCAGTTTTACATGTGGTAAATAATACAACATACATATGAATTTCTCATTCTGCTAGCTTCCCAATAATAAAATCAAGAGCCAACTCTTTATAGTATCATGGCTACATAAACATTGTTCACCAAAAAGCCACATTGTAGACTCTTGTCATCTTTTCTTTCTTATAAAACTTTAACTTTTTAGACTTAATAAGTCATTGCTATTTTTACTTGTCTTGTTTTCTGTACATTTATCCTTAGATCCTTTCATCAGCTGCATCACAACTGTTAGATACTTCCTAGTCTTTAGTTCTATGAAATGTTCTTGTATTATTTCTATGATGATGTTCAGAGAACCATTTCTTTTGTTTTTATCTTTGCATCTAATGTATTAGTCATTAGACTGAATTTCAACTTTTCACATTTCTATCTCATCTACTTTTCAACTCCAATTTTTGTTCTACTTTTGTAGAAATATATATTCAACTGTGTTTTAATTCAAGTATTTAATGTTATTTCCACTATCACTAATTCTCTTTCATAAGTGCTATTCTCATGTTAGACATTAAATCGCTTCTCTCTTTCTGCTATAACTCTTTTCAAAACACACATTTTCTCTGCTGTCTGCACCATCTCCATTTTCTACAAAGTTTCTCTTCTGGTTTGTTTTGGTCCATGTCTTTCATGTCGAGGCCTCCCTAATATGACTCAGATCCTATTTAAGAGCAAAGTACTAAAAGCAGATTCTTTTCAAAAACATTTTCTCTGCTGTCTGCACCATCTCCATTTTCTACAAAGTTTCTCTTCTGGTTTGTTTTGGTCCATGTCTTTCATGTTGAGGCCTCCCTAATATGACTCAGATCCTTAGCCGCTGGTCCTATTTAAGAGCAAAGTACTAAAAGCAGATTGAAGGCGAGGCCTCCCTAATATGACTCAGATCCTATTTAAGAGCAAAGTACTAAAAGCAGATTGAAGGCTCTATGCATGGAGGAGTTATGCGTGGTGAGCTTCAAGTAATATAAGAAAAAGGTGCCAAGCCGTTCACTGAGGAGCCCATACATTTCAGTATCTGGGGCATTTTTTTTTCCAGAACTGTTCTGTTTGTCAAGAAAAGATGCTTCCCAACCCTTGTTGGGGGTACACAGGCCTGGCTGCTGGCATAATGGAACCGGGCAGGAGACAAGCATAGTGGTCCCAGCTCTCCGTTCCCTGTTTTCAGTCACTCACACCCCCTTCCAAAATTATTCCACTTCAGTTTCTCCAGAGAACAGACCTCCAGTCTGTTCTGGGGTGGGAGGGGGTGGGGAGGTAGAAGCCAGACATCTAGGGTGCGAGGAGGCGCTGCTCCAGTCCTCCTGTCTCTTAAGTTCCTGAATGTTGGCCCCTCCCCCTGCCTTCCAGCCTCTAGGCTAGGCAGTTGTAGGCCAACTCCCTCATCTCTACACAGTCGCACTGCAGGCTGAGGCATCTATCACTCCACTAATCAGTCACCACTCTTCCATGTGCCTCGGAGCTCTCCTCTAAGTCTCCACCGCCATTCTTTGTCTTTGTAGGTTTAGCTTTCATTCCTTTACTATCTTTTGAGTGGGATATTTGAAAAGGAGAGAGCTAACATTTAGCTTGACGAGGCCAATAATATGTATGACACACTTCAATACTAGAGCAAGAGCAGCGGGGGTGCCTTGGGCAGAGGAAGCAATGCATGACGGATGAAACAAGGGACTGGTGGGTCTTGATCCTGTTTCCCTGCCCACGTGGGCATATTTCATTCTGGGTCTCCAGAAGTGTCTCCATTCATTAAAGTTTACCCCCCAAAAAAATGTTCTTTAACAAAAGAGTGCCTATACAAACAAGTTTATTCCCTGTGATGTCTTTTTTTTATGATATTTACTAAATGAGGTCATTTTACTCAC